CTCTCTCTCTCACACACACACACACACACACACATATATATTTTAAGGTTTTATTGTATTTATAGGTTATGTATATGAATTCTTGCATGTATACCTGCAGACCAGAAGAGGTGGTTGTAACCACCATGTGGTTGCTGGGAATTGAGCTCAGGTCCTCTGGAAGAGCAGTCAGTGCTCTTAACCTCCGAGCCATCTTTCCAGCCCTGCAGTTGTATTTTTAAAGTTGCATTTTAATTTTTAAATTATTTTTATTATTTTAATTACATATATATTTGGGTGGTTGGGTACATGTGGTATAGCGTGAAAGAGGCCAAAAGCACAGGATCCCTCTGGAGCTGGAGTTCCCGACAGTTGTTGCCTGCCTGCTGTGGGTCCTGGGCACTGAACTGGGGTCCTCTGGAAGAGCAGTCTACCTTCTTATCACTGAGCCATCTTCCATCCCCATTGTACAGTTTAATGTATGTCAATTATACCTCAATCGAATTGTAAAAATATAGCATGCATTATATAGCAATGCTATCTATGTACATACGTTATATAGCACATGAGCATGCATTATGCAGCACATGTTAGGATTCAACAAGTTGAGACTGAGAAGGGACTCCAGAGATCTCATATGTGACCTGATCTGTGCAGGGAACTGTAGAGACTTTTAAAATAAAATGTTTTATTTTGAAAAGAAAGAAAGCCTATGAGAAAGTTGCAGGAATACTGAGATGAACTTCCCTGTGCTAAATCTAAGGTCATACTTTGCTGTTTTTCTTCACTTTGGGGATATAACAGGGTCTTGTGACTGGTAGGCAAGTGCTTTACCACTGAGTTATACTTCAGCTCTACTTTTTTATATATATTATACACATTTTCCTTGTTTTCCCTTCCTATATTTGTGTTGAGGAAAGAAAAAAACATAAAAAGGAAAGCCTATCACAAAGTTCAGGAACATAAAGATAAACTCCCATATGTCTCACCTGGAGTCATATGTTGCAAATATTTTGCTATTGTCAAATATAATATTTTCTTCCTCTTTCTCCTTGTACATAAGTAAGCTGTAAATGATGACTTTTTTTCAGGATACTTCAGTGTATAGTTCTTTAAAACAAGTAGTCCATGACAACATCAGTGACAGCATCGTCATCTAGTTCTGGAAGATTAGTTCTCAGCCTTTCATTATTTTTCATGACCAACAGTTTTTGGAGATTAGGCTTTTTGTGGGGTGTCCTTCCGTGGCAGTTTGTTTGCTTGTTTCCTCCTGACACATTTGTATGGCTGGTATGCACTCAGTACCTCACAGTAGGCATGATATGGGTGGTTTTGTAGAGTGACATTCCCACCCCCCACTGCTATCAAGGTACCCTTTTCCGTTTGTCATTAATAATCTATGGAGACATGTTGGACATTGTGTCAAAACTCAGCAAACTGTCACGTGATGAGTTTGGAATCTTTTTATCAAGCATTCTGAAGGTGGAACCTTGCATGTATCAATAATTGAAGTCTCCTTAAAATTAATGGCTACCTGCATTTAATTTTGTAAACATTTATTCATTTCTTTTTCATTTACTTATGGAAGGCATGTGCATATGTGAAAGTCAAAGGGCAAGTGCAGGAGTTAGTTGTCTCTCCACGGTGTAGGTACTGGACATTGAACTTGCGTTATCAGGATTGGCATCGAGTACTTTTACTCACTAAGTCATCTCACCAGCCTGCATTTTATTTTAAGTGGCTAATAATAATTATGTATAGCTATGTATGTATTCACCATGATTGTGTGTGATGCTGGAAACTGAACCAAGTGCCTTTGCATGGTAGGCAAGTTTACCACTGAGCTACATTTCAGCCTTTCCTTTTGCGAGACAAGGCTTTGCTGTACTGTAACTCAGACTGACATGGAACTTGCTTAATAGGCCAGGCTGGCCTTGAACTCATCATTCTTCAGCCTTTGCCACCAAGTATTGAGATGACAGGGCTGCATCACTAACCCTGGCATACTATGATGTTTTATATGTGTGCTGGTTAGTTTGTGTCAACCTAACACAAATGCAGTCACCAGGGAAGAGGGAAACCTTAGTTGAGGACTTGATCAGATGCTTATAGAAGAGCCCTGTGATGAGCAAGTTAGAAACAAGCCTGACATCATTCTTAGCAAGCCTCTCAGATCGGTGCATATCTAGAAGAGTTGATTGCTAACCGGGAGCACTTAGTGTTGCTGGCACTTCACCTTCTTCCATGTCAATTTGTGTTTGTAATGAAAGGCAGTTTCTAGGCGGTGTTCCTGTCAGTCTAGACTGCTATCTTTCTGTGTCAGGCTACTGCTTAGCCATGACTCACAGGGCGTCACCTTCAGCCTCTTAAGAATCAGGCCAGGTTTCTTGTAGATCTGGCCACACAGACGTGAGCTGGAGGAAAGAAAGCAAAGCACAGCTGCGGCTATTCGGAAGGACATCTCATTCGAGAGGGCTTGCAGGAGGCATCCGGGCAAAGTGGAATGGCCTCATTCTGTCTGGCTTTTGTTTTCTTCCTCTATTCAGCAGATTTTCCACTGTGCCATTCATTATCTTAGGCAGAAGTGACATTTTATCATGGAGCTTCCTCTATCCCCAGTTTCTGGATGATAGCTAACAATTCATCATTAAAAAGAAATTAGTTGCTTCATGCAGATTGTATTACCCAAGAAAAATACAAAATTTGGGCTAGAAGGGTGGTTCATTGGGTAAAGGCACTTGTCACCAGACCTGACAACCTAAGTCCAATCCCCAGGACTCTGGTAGAAAGAGGGATCTAGCTCTCACAAATTGTCCTTTGGCCTCCTCCCTCTTCCACATACACACACACACACACACACACACACACACACACACACACACACACATATAGTAAAAATTGTAATGCAAATATTCCTGCTAGGACTGGAGAGGTGGCATAAGCCCACATCTAAACAGGACATCGATGGTTCTGACTCTCAGGATAGGGAAGTGAAACATACTATCTGCTAAACCAGACAGATAAGTGGGTTTTATTTTAGAGAGAGAATTCCTGTGTGCTTATTAGCTGGGAATTCTGAACCAGCTTGAGGAAGTGATCCTGAAAGAAGAAGAAATGGCATGGTGACTCACAATTGTAATCCCAATGCCAGAAGGCTGAGGCAAGAGTATTTTACTAAAGACAACTTTTCACATTGCACCTGCTATGTTTCTGTGTGATAGATACAAAGAGTAGTAATAAGCTGGGGGTGGTGTGCATGCCTGTAATTTTAGCATTTGGAAGGTAGAGGCAGCAGAAGCATCACAAGTGTGGGGCCACCCTGGTCTATATGTTGAGTTCTAGGCCAGCCAGTGCTATATAATGAGACTGTGTCAACTTCCCGATCCCCTCATATACATCAAAACCAAACCAAAAGTCTGTATAGACTGACCATTCCAAGTCTACTAAAAATACTTCCGATTTCATGGCATTTTATATTTCAGGTTAGGAATTTGTAGTCAGTAAAGTCTAAGTACATATTCAAAAATCACCCCCCCCAAAAAAAACAACCTGAAATCTGATACCTCTGGTCCCAAGCATTTCAACTAACTCAATTGGGCAAGAGTCTTCCTCAGCCAAGTTACAGTCAAGATAGGAAATGGACAGTGTGTGGGCTTCGGTACTGGGGAGGAGTAAGTTTCAAGGCTGGGAGATGAACTGTGGCATTGTTCCACAGTGGTGTTTGCACTTTTTTTTTTTTTTTTTTTTTGCCATTGGCTCATCTTGGTGAAATGTTTGCTTTTGTAATTACTGTTATTACTGTTTTGCTGAGTGTATTTGTGTCTCTGGACAGACATTTTTCTCCTTTCTTTTTGAGCAGTTAAAAGAAGATGGATGCACAGAGTTCAGCTAAAGTCAATTCAAGGAAGAGGAGGAAAGAGGCATCCAGCCCTAATGGAGCAACAGAGGAAGATGGCATTCCTTCTAAAGTGCAGCACTGCTCAGTTGTAAGTGGGGCTGTGACTGGAAGCATGCTGCTGGTGGAGGTAGAGAGCGATGGAACCCTGACATTGTGTTAGTGTTCCTAAATAATGGGAAGAGCAGACAGCATGAATGGTAAAGGCTGTTATGCTTTCTTGACATACTGTGAATTACAGCTCAGTAATAGGAGCTTCAGTTCCTGGGTATCATCTCATGGTGTCAGTGTCCTGTGTCATTTCCTTACTGCTGGGTATATCCCCACTGTCTCCTTTGTATACGCCCATCTCTGTGACAGCATTGAGGTTCTTCCTAGACTACTGCCAAGCCTTAGATGAATGACACCATTTCAAACTTCCTATCTTGTGTCAACTTGGTACCTTATTAAACCTTCCCCTAAAAAACATGTCAAAAGACTTGGAGATGATTGAAATTACTACTGAACCACGATATTATTCTGAAATCCGGGTTTCAAATGTTTCTATGTTTCATTACCTCAATTAACCACAGCCATTTATCAACTTACAACCTTTGCTTATTACTTCTGGAAATACCAAAGGGAAAGGTATTTCTACTTTGAGACAAACCAGTACTTCATCTGTTTTTTTTTTTTTTGTTGTTCCCTTTGAGATAGGGTCTCCCAGGCTGTCTTTAAACTCATGGCAGTTCTCTTCCCTCAGACTCTTGAGTTCTGGTGTTACAGTTGGAATTACATCACTCCCAACTTCAACAATTTCTCTCTCCTTTCTTTTTTTTTTTTTTTTTTTTTTTTTTTTTTTTTTTTTTCCAAAAAGGGTTTTTTTTTGTAGTTTTGGCCC